TACTTGGGTCTTTCGGTAATGTCACATAGATATGTTAAAATTAATAAAAAATAAAATAAACCAAAAACTACGACGTTTCGATCGCAACACAAGCGGCCGTCATCAGGCGGAGAGAAAAAAAGAAATAACAAGAAAAAATGTAGTTTTTTGTTCATTTTACTTTGACTAATTTGAACCTATCTTCGTGACTTCACCGAAAGACCCAAAGAACGTGAATTCCTGCAGTAACGAAAGCTTTCAGTCAACGGGGATGATCGTTTCCTCGCTGCACGTCGGTGGCTGTTTGCTGCGTTTCCTTCCTTCGTCTCCAGAACACACCTCCTCCTCGTCGTTCGTCACGGGCTCATCTCCGCCGGGCAGGAGCGTCGGAGACACGCGCCGCTGCAGCACGCCCACCGGCCCCGCGCTGATGCCCCTTCCACACGACGCGCGCTGTCACGGAGAGTCCCTGCAGCTGTTTCTCCTTATCCCTGCTTCCCTTTGGGGGTTATAGGATCTTTGCCGCACGTGTTTCCAACATCTCGGAACGCGACTGCCGGCGTCTCCCCCCCCGCCCCCCCACCCCCCTTGTTGCCCGTGTGGGAGGGTGGCTCGAGATGGGAGACCGAACCAACTCCGACCGATCCCTTGCCGCGACCCAAAACATCTTTCGGTCGAGCGCTTTTCAAACTCCGCTCGGGGATTGGCAGTGGCGCCGCGGCGTCGAGACGTCAGCTACCTCGCCAGCCCTGCTTGCCCTGTTTATACGGGAGGCTCGTGGAGGAAACAGAATTTGCATCGACGCCTCTCCCGTCCTGGCTGTCGCGGTTCATGCCGAAAATAAGCCGCACGTCCCACGCGTCACGACAACGGTGCCGAGATGTTAACTACCTCGCCTGGTATACAGGATGGTCGTGGGTTCGATCACAACCCTTGATGCCTGCATATTTGGAGTTTGCCATAATCTCGCCCGTAGTCGCGTGGATTTTTCTTCCGGGTCCTCCGGTTTTTGCCTCCACATTTAGAAACGCGCGTTTAGAGTAGTTGGCGGCTGTACATTTAAACACGATAAGCCACTTAACTGGGGCTCTCACTTGTGGCCAGGTCGCTTCTGAAAAATAGCTATGTAGCTCATTGGGCATTGACTGCTAAAATGAAAAAAAAATCGTTGTCTGTTTCAAAAGCTGCTGAATTGCCGAGCATTCATCCAAAGGTTGCTGGCAGGTACATGCCGGTTTAAAAAATTACACTCGAACACTGCCCACGTGGAGCGGTTTGTCGACTCGATGATGCCCACTGCAGGAAAAGTCACAATGCCAGGGCTACGGTTAGGTTAGAGGTGACCTTTGTCGTGAGCTTCTTTTGACGCTGTTGTATTGTTGGTGCGTGGTGCGGAGTTCATGTTGGCATTGGTTTGAAACCGAGGGGCAATATCTGAAGCGTGCATTTTTTTTTTTTTACGACAGCGTTCGTAAATTTTTGATTTCGTGTGACGCAAAAATGTTTTATCAATCATCGTGCAGATGTGGCCGTGTGGCTCGGAGGTCAGAGTGCTGAGCTGGTGCTATTGAGGCCCTGCGTTCGCGTCCGGATTTCAGGCATCCGTGATTAAGCGGGGTTCTCAAGTGTAATTAATTGATGGTCTCAGCCTGATCGTTAATGATTGCACAAAACAATCCATTATCACAACAAAAAATACTTAATTTGGCAAAATTCCAACCCTGATCATTAAATATATTGGTTCGATTATAGTGCGATGAACACCAATTTCATAGCAGAGATAATCAGAAGGTTTGCCCTCTGTCGTGGAAAGATAGATGGACGGATTAAATATCATTACGAGGAATAAGCTTCGTGAAAACATCTTGCACAACTATATTTAGACACAAAGTGATGCACCGCTCTGTGCGTTTTGCTCATGGATTATTCGTCTCAGGAAATGAGATTATAACAACAGTCGAACTGGGAATAAACATATTTTAAGGACCAAAAATATGGGACCTGTCTTGCCAGTATCAAAATATAGGAATAAGATTTACCCTTTCTGGCAATGAAACAGAATATGAAAATAAGACACGTGTTAAGATATATAGTCTTGGTTCTTTTATAAAAGTCACGTAGAAGGGAAACAATAAAATAATGTTTCCCTTCTACGTGACTTTACCGAAAGAACCAAGAATATGAATCCCTGCAGTCACGAAAGCTTTTAATCAAGGTGTTAAGATGTTAAAACACCAAACAGAAACCTTTTGAAAGGAATCGTATCTACATAAACCGCATGTACTTGTGGTGAACATACAAACAAAAAACATGCTCCGATAATATCAGTGTAGTGCGTTGTACGGAGACACACAATGGAGTTGGAGGCAACACGTTTATTCCAACACCCCAACAGGGCTCACCATTTAAACGTACACTGGTTCAACATCTAACTGATAACTACACAAATTTACTATGTGAGTAGCGAATTAACTACACATACGGGTCAGTCAGCATACATGCTGCCTGACCCACGGTGCCGAGAGAAGACCGAAGACTCGGGACGACGATGACGAGACGCGGGACCCCAGGGATGACCCAGGGATGATTCTCCAGACGAGCCTCGAACGCTTTCGGGACCGCCCCTTTATGTTCCTGAGCGTGGCCTCGCTCCGCCCTCAGCCACGCCCCCTTCCAGACCTTTCCCGAAGGATCTGGACGGAGCGTCGCGTGTCCCTCAAGCACCCCCCTCGGGCCCCCCTCACTCCCCTGTCCCGGTCACGTGCCCTCTCGGGTTCACCCAGACTACCATGTCCTGACTTGTCCTCTCTCAGGCCGTCACCAGGACTATGCCCCCTAGGGCCCACTTGCATATAGTACTCACTCTGACCCCAGAGAGAGGTTCCCGACACACAGCAGAACTCTTGTGACAGTGCTTGGCGCTCACACCGTAGTGACACCCTTAACGTCACTACGTAAGTACCGCGTGTGGTTAATGCAGACAGGATTCCTTGCAAAATGTTTCTGTTCGGTGTTTGAACATCTTAACACCTGTATTATTCCCAGAAAGGGTAAAACCTATTCTTATAGGACCAAAAATGTTAGGCAATAATGAGGCGAATAGCTGCGCTATTTGCAAAAGCTTTTTGCAGAGGTTGTCACAAGTGATGTGATCGCGTAAAGGCCGTTTCTGTTGTGAATGGCGAACCATCAAGCATTTCTGTGCAATTTTACAGCAATTGTTTTCGACTGAGTGCCTTTCTTGCAGGCACGAGAAGTGATTTGTGACCTCCAGGAATGCCTTTGATTAGGACCTCTTGGAGCGAGGAGAGGTCATGAGGTGTTCTGGTAAATAACTCAAATGCGCACGCACATGTATTAATATTTCACATTATTGACGAGGGGTCAGCTGTATCTGGCGCAAACCAGTATGATCTTAAAACCATAATCGACAAATCACTGTCTCACTTTTACTTTGCCCGCGAGGTTGAGGCACGTTTGAGTTTTACAGAATCACACGAATGCTTTATTTATAGTTGAATCAGAATATATATTTTTTCTCTTTACACCGGAAGAATCCGATAAGCTGTGAAGCTCTTGTTTCACAGATGTCCAGTTGGGGCACGGGTTCAGAACGTTGCACCAACAAACAATGCAGAAACGCGATAGGGAGTGCAAAGTGTAGAAAAGGTAAAGAAATCAACATCCAGAGGGGAGGGAGGGATGGGGCTTGACAGATATGAGCCTGGGAATGGACGTGTTGGTGGGAGAATGTGGAGAGTGCAGTTACCACCAGCTGATATTGTGTATTGCTGATGGCATTTAAGAAACCAACCCCCCACCCACCCACCCACCGGGATAAAAACACAATAAATTCTTCCCTTGATGTCGAACTGTTTACCCTCGTTGGTCAATTTTGCAAGCTTGCGTAATCCGCAGGACGGGGCGTTTGACAAATCCGCGCAAGTCGCGCGATCCACGTTATTCTTGGCTGCCTGCGCGCAAGCGGGAGCGCTCCGTCTCCCCTTGGGAGGTACCAAAAAAGCTCTGAAGCAGCGACCTCGTCGCGCGCTCCCTGAATGAACCACCACCACCACCACCGCCGCCACCACCACCCCCTTAGCACGAAGAGGTCCAGATGGTCAGGGTAATAGAGCGGGAGGTGGGGGGGGGGGCCGAGGGTGGTGGAGGGGGGGTAGCCGAGATGGGCGTGCTAACAAAGACAAAGATCCCCCCGTGTAGCCTTAACAGACTGTTGGGGCAAGTGCTGTTAGCCAGCACCCATGAAGGCCGGCACGGCACACGAGGGCGTGGGTGGCCAACACCACGCCCGGCCGCCTTTGTCTCCCTAGCGAGCGATGTTTACACACCGCACCAGGTACTAATTTGAGGCTGAGTCGACCTAGGGGAGGCCCAGGACCGGTTCAGATCATCGTCAGACGTGTGGGCCGTGAGCGAGAATGGAACTCGGCTGGCCGGGTTCGTAGCGCAGCGCGCTAACCGCTACACTACCGCTTCCCACACACACACAGACGCATGTACGGACCGGCGGACTGACGGACGGAGGAAGTAAAATAATGAATCGTTGTATTCCATGGCTTGTAACGCAGCAGCAGCAGCAACAGCAACGACCTCAACTCTCTCCGCCGCAAAGCAGGAGGGAAAAAAAACACACAATCAGGGGCCCCGCCTTCGATTAGGATTCTGCGCACGCCCACTTTGCCCATACAACCACCAGAGCGCCCGGCTTAGCAGAGAGCCACAGTTAGTTTGGATGGTCGTGGATTCCCGCCCCCCCCCCCCCCACACACACACATTGCTGCTGCTACTGCTGCTTGGTGGTTGTGACCCCGTTTTTGGGGCAGTTGAGGGCTCCCATCAGCCGAACGCGGTTGCGTGCGCATCTGCTGCTGCTGCTGCTGCACCCCACGCAAACCGAACAACGACCACGGGGTTTTTGTTTATTTGCAAGTGGTAGCTTTCGTGTTCATAGAGGCCGGCGGTAATTATTGCCTTTCACCCGCTGAATTAGGACCTGCGGAATTAATTATCGTGATTATTATTAGCGATGGGTGCGAGCGGTGGCGACGCGATCACCGCGTTTGTCCTGTCCCCATCGTCACGACCGTATTTGTATACTGTGTGTTACGTGGTTTTTTTTTTTAGTGGGGAGCGGTGGTGCAGCGATTAGCGCATGTTATTATAGTTATTTTTAAATGCCCACCACCTGTATTTAATGTCCATGTATTGTGTTGCACAATTCTGGACGGAGAGAGTGGGTGGGTGCCCACTGTTGACTGTTGGAGCGGTGCATTGCTCGACGCACTGCCAAGATTTTCAGCCGGCGTCCCGAGTTAGATTCTGGGCCACGTCTGACATCGGAAGCGAGCGACATCTGACACAGTCCAGCACTCTCCCAACCCCTACCGCGCAGTGGATAAGTACGGTCGATGGGAGGCCTGCATCCAGCAGTGGATTGACAACGGGCTGTACAGAGTTATAATCGATAGCACTGTTTGTTGTTTTCCCTTGGCACGTTTTACGCCGTTGCTTTTTTGACTGTTGCCAATGTGAGCGGTGTTGTGAATGTGTTTTTACCCTTAGAGTCAATTCGCTGCAACAGCTCGTGGTGGTTGCGGCGGCGGTAGAGAACCAGGAGCTGGAAGACACGGCTGGAGACCGAGGAATTGAATCGACGAGTTAGGTAAGTCGCCTCTTCTCGCGTGGCGTACGGAGCGATCCGTGCTTGATGGTGGTGGTTGTGGTGTGATGGTGGCGGTGATGATGGTGGTGGTTATAATAGGGGGGTGGGGGGGGGCGGTAGCCTAGCGGTTAGTGCGCTGCGTTCGATTCCCGCTCACGGTCAACATCAGTGACAATTGTAATCTGAACCTGGCCTGGGCCTCCCCTAGATCGATTCAGCCTCAAATGAGTACCCGGTGTGGTGCGTAAACACATCGCCACTAGGGAGACAAAGGCGGCTGGGTGTGATGCTGGCCACCCACGCCGTCGCGTGCCGTGCCGGCCTTCATTAGGTGCTGCTCGCTAACAGCACTTGCCCCAACAGTCTGTTAAGGCTATACGGGGGATCTTTGTATTTTGGTTGTAATAGTGGGTGATGGTGATGATGATGATGGTGGGCTTTGAGCGAGCAAACAAGCGCGTGTTGGATAAAGTTGCACACAGCTTCAGTCTGAGATTAACGATGCACTCTTACCCGCGCGCGAGCAATGAAATTAAAACATGATCGGGATGTTTTGCTCCACGTGTGTGAAATAACAATGTTCGCCGCCGATCGTGAGTTCCAAGGGCAGGCGTACGCGCGTGCTTGCCTCCAATGGGGTCAACAATACCTGAGCGATCAGTCGCGCAATTTGGTTGCAAGCAACTGGATGGCTTGAATGTTGGACGTCTCTGCAATCATAGACTGTTTGCTCAGATCTGGACCGCCGTTAACGCTCACGGCTCAGCGGAGAAAAGTGGACAATATGCAGTCTATGTCTCTGTTTCTCCAGGTAAAAAAGTTAAAAGTGTTTCTAGACCCAACTATTCACACTTTTTATTTTTTATTTTACCAGGTAAAGCCCACTAAGCTATGTAGCTTTTTTCAGAAACGACCTGGTCACAAATGATCGCTCAACAAAGTGGCTTATCATCATCACGTGGAAATCACGTATAGCAGTCAAATATTCTAAAAGCGTGATGTCAATTCTAAATGTGGAGGGGGAAAACCGGAGGACCCGGAGAAAAATCCACGTGACCACGGGGAGAGAGAGACACCGCAAACTCCAAATACAGCAGGCGTCATGGTGGTGATCGAACCCACGACCTCCTGTATAGCAGGCGAGGTAGTTAACATCTCGTCACCGGTCCGACGGTGGCGAGATGCTACATAACCCCATAGTTCCGACGGGCCTTCTGGGTGTGCATACTTTCATAAGCATTAATTCAACACAAGTAGAACCCCGGACTGGTTTCGACAGAGCCAAGTCGACAGAGTTCGGTTTGCTTGAATAAATCAACGCCGGGGAAGTTCCAGACGCTGTGATATAATCCACTCGCAGATGTTCAACGCGTGCCTGTATGTGTTCAGATCCACTCATGATGATTAACAGCCAATGTGTGTGTGTTATGTAATAAGCTTGTGCCCCGGGGGGACAAGCGTCTATGACGTCTCCTGGCCAAACCCCATTTGGCGGAGCCAGGAGACTGAATTCTTACCCTCGGGGCTACTCCAGAAACAACAAAAAACCACTACGTGTAGCCACATGGAATGTTCGAACGCTCACTGCGGAGGAGAGGCTGCCACTCCTCTGTCAGGAGCTGGACCAGTACCGCCTGGATCTCTGTGGTATTCAGGAGGTCCGGTGGACCGGCTCTGTCTTCTGCCACCATGAGGGGTGGACAGTCCTCTTCTCGGGGCAAGAGACTGCCAAACAACAGGGAGTGGATCTTCTAAACAAAAGAATGAAGGGGGCGTGGCAGTGTGGCGGTGAGGTGTGGGAACCTGTAAGCCCCAGGCTACTTTGGGCTCGCCTTCCTATCAACCAGAGGCGAGGAGTGGTGGTCGTGGTTACTTATGCCCCCACTGAAGACGAACATCCGTGGAGGGATGCAGGCAAGGCCGATGAGTCAGATGCCTTCTATGACCTCCTGTCACAGGTGCTAGCTAAAGTGGCCCTTCGGGAAAGAGTCATCTTGTTGGGTGACTTCAATGCCCGAGTTGCTCATGATGCTGGCACCTGGTCTGGAGTGATTAGAAAGGTATGGGCCAGATCAGCTCAATAACAACGGCAGGAGGCTGCTAGATTTTTGTGCAGCCCATGGGCTTGTAATTACCAACACGCTGTTCCGGCATCGGCGCATCCACACAACATCATGGATGCATGCCGGGTTCAAGCAAGAACATCTGCTGGACTACATAGTGACGGAACAGCGGATGAGGGCCCATGTCCTTGACACCAGGACCTACCGTGGAGCTGATCTGCCCACTGACCATCGACTTGTCATCTGTAAGATGCGCCTGCCAAACCCAGGACCCCATTCAAACCCTTAGTGGCATGGTCTTAGCTAGCTGTTGAAAGTTGCAAGCGATAATTTCATAATCACTTGTGGCTGGGGTTGGCATCGTCCCCCACTCCTCCTGATGTCGAGGGGAAATGGGCGAGGTTTAGGACTGTGGCTCATGCAGCTGCAATGGCTGCTTTGGGTACACGGTTCAAACCTCCCCAGTGACCCTGGTTGACAGAAGAAGTGTTCAAGCTGGCTGAGAAAACGCGACAGGCCCACTCTCATTGGCTACAGCATCCCACGTCAGAGAATGAAGAGGCTTACCACAGCCTTCGCTCGGAGGTTTGGAGAGCCGTGAGGCGCTGCAAGGATGGTTGGTGGTCGCGGGTTGCTGAGGAGATGGAGTCTGCCTCAGTGGCCCGCGATCACAAATCGCTCTTTAATTCCATCAAAAAAGTAACCTGCAGCACCACACCAATTACCATCATTAGGGGAAGGAACGGTGATCCAATCTCCAACCCCCAGGAACAGGTTTACAGATTTGCTGAGCATTTCTGTGAGGTCCTGGGGGAGGGGACATCCCTCAGCCTGGATAAAAACGTGGGACAAAGTGTAGATGACCCTGCCGAGGCTGCGGTGCCTCAAAAATTGGAGGAAATCACCCCCTGTGAGTGGCTGGCTGAGGTACCATCTGTTGAGGAAGTACTGAAGGCGATGCAGAGTCTGAGACCAGGAAAGGCACCGGGCAGAGATGATCTCCCAAGCGAAATGCTGAGGGAGGGTGGCGTTTGTGCACAGACTGCCCTACATTATATCATAACAACAGTCTGGACCACTGGATGGGTTCCACAGGACTGGAAGGATGCCCTGGTGGTCCCCCTCTTTAAGAAGGGGGACCGCACAGACTGTAACAACTACAGGGGCATCTCACTCCTCAGTGTGCCGGGAGAGATCCTGGCAAGAATTATTCAACATCGCCTTACCAGGCACGCTGAGGAGAGGCTTGCGGAGCCCCAATGCGGTTTTAGGATAGGGCGGTCCTGCACAGATGCCATATTTTCTGTCTGTCTGCTACAGCAGAGGTGTAGGGAATCCCAACAAGACCTACATCTCTGCTTTATTGACCTGGTCAAGGCCCCTTGATACCATCAGTAGGCCTGGGCTCTGGGGTGTTCTTCATGCCTTCAGAGTCCCTGACCCTCTACTCACGATCATGAAGAACCTTCATGATGGTGAGCGGGCCCGGGTAAAACTACGTGGCCGGGAGTCGGAGCCATTCGCTTTACACCTTGGGGCGCAACAGGGATGTCCTCTGGCTCCCACATTATTTAACATCTATTTTGACCACGTAGTTCGTGACGCCTTCAATAGCTGTACCGGAGGAATTTCCATCTGGTACAGATACAATGGGAGGCTGATCGATGCCCAGGTACGGTCAAGGGATGGCTCCCTATTGCTCAACCATGTTATGTATGCCGATGATCTGGTAATCGCTGCTCACTCAGAGGAGGAGTTGGAGGCGCTGCTGATAAACCTGGAGCTTGCCACTAAGAGGTGGGGCCTTACCATCAGCCCCACCAAAACTAAGCCCCTGCCAGGGTATTTTGCACAATCGGACACTCCACCCTCACAACTCCCAATTGGTGATGGGGCAGTTGTGGAAAGAGTGGAGAGTTTCCCGTATCTGGGCAGTGTGCTTATGACCGGCTCCGGTTTAACAGCAGAGGTCTCACTCCGAATCAGTCGAGCGGCATTATCTTTTCATCGATTGCGTAACGCTGTGTGGAAGCTACCTGGTCTGTCGCTCCGCAAGAAGCTTCAGGTCTTCTCGATCACAGTTATTCCCTCCCTTCTCTACGCTTGCGAAACGTGGACCCCCCTAATGGAACATCTTCGCCGGTTAGAAACATTTAGGCTGGCCTGCCTATGATCCATCCTGGGTTTAACCAGGCTGGATTGTGTGAGGAGCTCACAAATCCTTGAAAAATCTGGGCAAAGTCCCATCGGTGAGCTCCTCCGGCAGGCAAGGCTGCGTTGGCTGGGCCATGTAGCCCGCATGCCCAGTCACCACATGCCCAAACAGCTTTTGTTCGGCCGGATCGAGGGGGCTAAACTGGCACGGCACGGGCTAGAGAAGAGATGGAGTGATGTGGTACAGGAGGAAGTGGAGCTGAGTGGACTTGCCGATTACTGGTACTAGCGGTGTCAAGATCGGCCTCTGTGGAGGAGGCTCGTGAAGGACGCTACTGGGCAGTTGGAGGCAGTCGCCCTCCAACAACAACGGAGGGTGGAGGAGCGACGCTCACAACAATGAGCGGAGCGCCGGGTGGTTACAGCACAGCAGGTTGGCACAGTAGGGGGCACAGGTGGTGCATCAGCCAGTCATCTCAGTCAGTCGACCCGTGGCACCTGGGTCTGCCCCGTGACCTCTTGCCAGCGGGCGTTCGACACTTCACGTGGCCTCAAGGTGGTTGTTGTTGTTGTTGTAATGGCGGTTGTTGTTGTAATTAAACTGGTGCTGCTATCGCTATTGATATATCATGTTAATGCAAAAGTAAACACAAGGGAAAAAATTGCATCTTCTTTTTTCATATAATGTAACTCATTCAATGTTGATATTACACGACAATTCAAAATAATCTATGCCACTGAGTCCCCTGAGTGTATGCTGGCTGGGCTTGTCTCCATCCCAAC